TTCAGACCGGTTGAGTTTAAGGTATGTAGACGGCACGCTTGCCAAGCGGTGATTGCGTAGGCGTGAGGTTGTCCCTGCAGGGCTGTGCGTTTATAACTTAAGTGAGTGTCTTGTGTTGACTGCGCGTTTGACTTGATCAAATAATTGTGTTGAGTTTTGTGCTCGTGGGAAATGGAGAAGGAGCGTACGGAGGTACCGGGTGGATATGGGATTGATTTTCCTACCTTGGAATCACGTGCGCGGGCTTCAGTGCTTCGCGGGAGGACACTGTAGTGTATGGGCAATGCGCATTGATTGCGTTCGCTGGAGTGGTGGAACTCGACTGGAGCGGCTTTTTGAAGACAGAAATGCCTGTTTCCCTCTGCAGGTTGTCGGGGTGGACCCGGGTGAATTTTGCATCGTGGCACCGGACACTGTCATCCACTGCGAGGGCGAGCCTGTGAAGCGGGAAGAGGAGGAGAGGTTGGACGAGATAGGCTATGAAGACATCGGTGGGTATTCTTTTAGGGTTTAGGGCAAAGCCCCCTCTTTGAGCAACAGCGCCCAAATCCGGCCTGGCGGCAGACCGGCTTTGGATGCTGCTGCTCGGCCTCCAAGGACGGGCGGTGACAGGCATAGCGGCCTCGCTGATGCGGCCGCTGGACAGCAGACCCAGACAGATGTTTGGTTAGATTGTGGAGGGGCAGCATGTGGGGAGACAATGTCGGGGTTTACTGTTGGTGGGCTTACCGTCATTTCTAGGGCGTCGCGATCAATATGTTCATTGGTAGTTTTGTGCCGCATTTGTTTTAGGCGGATNCCGTCATTTCTAGGGCGTCGCGATCAATATGTTCATTGGTAGTTTTGTGCCGCATTTGTTTTAGGCGGATGTCGCAAGCAAATGGCGCAAATCCGCGAAATGATTGAATTGCCGCTGCGACACCCTACTCTTTTCAAGACACTGGGTGTCAAGCCTCCACGCGGCGTTCTGCTCTACGGCCCTCCAGGTTGGTTGGGTAACGCGGGGCTGTTCGCAGTGCAGCTATCACGATTATGTAACTTATATGAACACACTGCGTTCATTTGGTTCTACTGATGCCGAATCGTTTTATTTTTTGTAGCTGCTCTCCATAGCTCTCTTTCAAGCCTTCGCGCAGACGCTGCAGGCGTCTAAACGCAGAGCTGACGGATGGGGCAGCAGCGGCCAGCATATCTCGAGGAAGTGCCTTGCTTCTGCGTCGCAGGCAGCGGGAAAACACTTATTGCAAAGGCAGTGGCGAACGAGACTGGAGCATTCTTCTTCCTCATAAATGGCCCCGAGGTTATGAGCAAGATGGCAGGTGAGTCCCAGCTGGTTGGGCAACAAACGGAT